TACGGGGCCCAGGCAGCTGGGTGAATCAGATGTGGGCAGGGAGGGTGATGGTAGGGGGGCAATTACTGGAACCGATCCCCTGTATGGCTCTCTCTGCAGCAGCTGAAAGCTGGCTTCTTTTTCCACTCCTTCCCGCTGGCTTTCAGCTGCTGCAGAGAGCCATACAGGGGATCGGTTCCAGTATCTGTCCCCCAACCACAGCCATCACCCTCCCTGTGCACCATACATTTCCCCCTGCTTCCCAGGCCCCCCTGTGTGCCCCTACACTGACAGTGCTGCTGGCTTCTCTCCTTTTCTTCCCACCAGCAGCTGCAAGCATACAATAGAAAAATTCCGGATGGAGAGTGGGGGAAGGGTCCAGTAAAAATGTCACATTTACCAGCCCCTTCCTTTCCTGAATGAACACAATGAGTGATCAGTATCAGTATCGGTGTTCATTCATAACTGAAGCATAGTAAACTGTTTTGCTTTTTTTGGGGGGGAGGGGGCCCTGTCTGGTTGGCTGTGTGGGGCTCATAGTTTCTAATGGTAGCCCTTGCAATGTCCAGCCTCCCCTCTGATGATGTGCCTTAGCACGAAAGGCCTTAGGAGGAGCTGCACAGAGCGTGATGTCATTTTGCCGCCGGAGCCACGAGGAGGCCCGGCGGCCATCTTTTAAAGGGTCAGTGTTGCACTTTTATTTGGATTTATACTCATTTTAATATGCTTACTGCCCTGAATTTTTCTGATATACAATAAAACTTTATTTGAGAAATACTACACTATTCTGGCACCTGTTTTTGGGCTCCTATGTGGAGCTATTGCATCTACAGAACAAAGTCCTATGTCATCCAGTATCCAGAGGAGGGAGCCCTGTATGCAGGCTGAGCGCCCATCCACCCTTAAGGGGACCTCTGGACCCAGCAGTATCTCATACCTAATCCAGGCTGACTGACCAGATCTCAGAAGGATGCCCACCACCTGCTGACTACAGAATACTACCTAGGATTATTATTCCTACATGCACATTATCCATGCGCTTCTGGTGAGTGTGCACTTCTGCTATTTTGATTTCAGTCACAATTCCATTGGGATAACTGCTTCATAGGAAACTACAGCTGGTGCCAACTGTTGAACTCTATTGATTTACATATTTTTACAGGAGCTTTCTACTTCATTATTTATTGAGCGCTGCACTTTATCATACTTACTGTTACTACAAAGGTCACTGTGGTTACCTTAAGTGTCTCAGCCGCTGTTTATCAAAGAGCGCTCACTATATCTTGCATTATTAGCCCTTGCAATGTGTCCACTCTTTGCACAGAAACCTCTGCCACCCATTGACACATATGTGACACATGTGGACATTAAAGCCCACCCTCGTTTCTGCTGGAAATATACATTATGTAGGTAGCTAGGTTAAAAAAAAACAATGTTTCCTAGGCACCCAGGCCGACGGAAGGGTAAATATAAAGAACCCTGGTACCCAGCCTTCGGATCTTTGATAGTAACTGTGACACTCTTGGGTAGTCCGTAGTCAATTCCCAAAGTTATTAAAGATTTTTTTGCTTCTAGAATTCAAACAATATCTCCTTATTTTGGCATCCACACAATCCGCCTGCACTTTCGGTCATATTCTAAAATGCACAGCGACATTTACACCAGCCTTCTAGCTAATACGGCTGGTTTTTGTTTGTTTTTTTTAATTACCACCCCTTGATCTATTGAATCATTAATAATACATTATTTTGGATGGAATTAAACGTTAGCCTATACCAACCTTTTATCAACCTTTACCAAACGCGGAAATTGATTTTTGGGAAATGGAATATCCTCAGCTTCCCTTCTTCTCAAATGTCTCGGAGTGGATTATAAACTGTAAACATTAACATTATAACTTTATTAACCTTCGGCAATCCAGACCGAGAAGCTCCTGCGATTGTTAATCCCTAATCCTGTTACCGAAGCCTCATCGTTGTTTGATCTATTGCTGGCTAGCCCAGACACGGCCATAGCTGCTTTAATCCTGTATATACAATTTAACCATAAAAAGGTTGGAGCAACATTTGGAGCGATTTAGTCATTTGGGATAAACAGAACACTTAGCAATATGAGATCTATGTGTTCTGATTTTCGTATTACTGACTTTGACAGTTAACATAAAACTTTCAGACTTTATTTCCCTTCCTCATTTCTTTATTGGAGTGAAACTTTAGCTTCATTAAAAAAAAAAAAAAGAAAAGAAAAACAAATATTAAATGACTACAAAAACCATTTATGTTGTGTTAGTTATTATTTATTAACTATGCATTATTTAATCAAATTGCATAGAAATGGGAAATTATTATTTTCATTTATTAATTTATTATGTTATTACAGGTATTTAAATAGCACCAACAACCTATGCAGCACTCTACATATTATACCTTTACATCAGTCTCTGCCCTCAAGGGGCTAACAATGTGAAGGATTTGTACTTCTGTCCATCCAGTTTTGAGATTTATAGCACTGCCACACAGCACAACCCTCTCTGCTGGTGAGTGAGACCAGATTTACAGGTCTCTGTCCCACCATTAACCTGTGATTAGGCACTGAAAGGAGAAGCAGCAGACTGATGAGCTCATCTCTCTGTCACTCTCTTCTCTCCCCTATCAGAATAATCAACTAATTGTCATGTGCTTATAGACTGCTCAAAAAAATTAAGGAAACACTGTTTAATCAGAGTATAGCATCAAGTCAATGAAACTCCTGGGATGTTGATCCAGTCAGTGAAGTAGCAGAGGGGGTTGTTAATCATTTTCAGCTGCTTTGGTGTTAATTAAATTAACAACAGGTGAACTAAATGGGTAACAAAAGGATGACCCCCAAAACAGGAATGGTTTTACAGGACATTTTTTTCCCTGCTCATATTTTCTGACTGTTTTTCACTAGTCTTGCATTTGGCTAGGGTCAGTGTCACTACTGGTAGCATGAGGCCATACCTGGACCCTACAGAGGTTGCACTGGCAGTCCAACTCCTCCAGGATTGCACATCAATACTTGCCATTGCCAGAAGGTTTGCTGTGTCTCCCAGCACAGTCTCAAGAGCATGGAGGAGATTCCAGGAGACAGACAGTTACTCTAGGAGAGCTGGACAGGGATGTAGAAGGTCCTTAACTCATCAGCAGGTCCGGTATCTGCTCTTTTGTGCAAGGAGGAACAGGATGAGCACTGCCAGAGCCCTACAAAATGACCTCCAGCAGGCCACTGTTGTAAATGTCTCTGACCAAACACTCAGAAACAGACTTCATGAGGGCGGCCTGAGGGCCCGACATCCTCTAGTGGGCCCTGTGCTCACTGCCCAGCACCATAGAGCTCGATTGCATTAGCATTTGCCATTGAACACCAGACTTGGCAGGTCTGTAACTGGCGCCCTGTGCTTTTCACAGATGAGAGCAGGTTCACCCTGAGCACATGTGACCGATGTGAAATGGTCGCCGTGGAAGAATGTTATGCTCCCTGTAACATTGTGCAGCATGACCGTTTTGGTGGTGGGTCAGTGATGGTCTTGAGAGGCATATACAGTACATGGAGGGACGCACAGACCTCTACAGGCTAGACAATGGCACCCTGACTGCCATTAGGTATTGGGATGAAATACTTGGACCCATTGTCAGACCCTACACTGGTACAGTGTCCTGGGTTCCTCCTGGTGCACAACAATGCCCAGCCTCATGTGGGGAGAGTATGCAGGCAGTTCCTGGAGGATGAAGAAATTGATACCATTGAATGGCCCCCACACTCGCCTGACCTAAATCCAATAGAACACCTCTGGGATATCATGTTTCAGTCCATCTGACGCCACCAGGTTGCACCTCAGACTATCCAGGAGCTCAGTGATGCCCTGGTTCAGATCTAGGAGGAAATACCCCATGACACCAGCCGTCGTCTCATTAGGAGCCCTGCCCCTGACATTATCAGACATGCATACAAGCACATGGGGGCCATACAAACTACTGAGGACCATTTTAAGTTGCTGCAATGAAATTTCAGCAAAATGGACTAGCCTGCTGCATCATTTTTTCACTTTGATTTTTGGGGGGGCCTTTGAATCTAGTCCTCTGTAGGTTGATAATTCTCATTTCCATCAAACAATGGGTCATCCTTATGTTCCTAACACATTAGCCAGTCCATATCAGTATAGAGATCCAGCAGGAGAATTTTCCCCATTGAGTTCTGATGTGTTTTCATAGTGTTCCTTTCATTTTTTTTAGCACTGTATTTCCACCACAAGTCCTTTGCTCTACAGCAGGGGTGTCAAACTGGTGGCCCTCCAGCTGTTGTGAAACTACAAGTCCCATCATGCCTCTGCCTTTGGGAGTCATGCTTGTAACTGTTATTCTTGCAATGCCTCATGGGACTTGTAGTTTGGCAAACAGCTGGAGGGCCAACACTTTGACACCCCTGCTCTACAGGAATTAGAAGAAGCTGATACCAAGTAATATTCAGGTACTTACACAGCTTACATTTCCATTCAAGAATGTTATTGAAGAACAAGCAAAGATATAGTGTATCCATCAATTTACAACATAGTCCTCTGGTACAAAGAGATAAATTCAAGCTCACAAGATTATTGCTGACAGTTATTATAAAGTGTCACTAAACCCACATCATTAAAAACTATTAATAAATGCTGCGTTACATGCTGTTCATATGCAGTTACTATGGCATTCATTTTCTGCATTCTGCAAAAAAAAAAAAAACTGGTTTATCCTGCTGTTCTCTGTCTCCCCCTCCAGTCCATTTCCCCACTACAATTGGGATTCTGCAGAACAGAGTTGGCGGCTACTGCACATGCTCAGATTTCAATTGTATTTCTTTCCTGAGCATTTACTCCCTATCACATCTGATCATCCCATGTGACTATAGAGTCACACATGTTGGCATATATACAGTGGCAGGGGCGGACTGACCATTTGGAAACTCGAGCACTGCCCAAGGGCCCTGGGGTCAGTAGGGGGCCCTATGAGATGCCCTGGTACCTTTTTCATAGGCTTTTTTGAGTTTGGGCAAGGACACAGGGGCCCCATGATCCCCTATTGCCCGGGGGCCCCATGAGTTGTAAGTCCGCCCCTGTACAGTGGTAAATGACAGCACACTCCCTCCCTCCTTCTCCATGCCCACTAACCAGCTAACCACAATGGGGGTGGGATATTACATTTGATTGATGTAGACTTCACCTCCCTGTTATTCTTCAACATAGACCCGAAGGGCATGACACAACCTGTGACTGGTAGAAATCCAACCACACATGTTTTTTTTTTGTTTCAAATATGTATTTGTATGACTATTTAAAACAGTTTATTGATATGAATTATTTATTTTTACTCTGGATTTTATTTTGAATAGTTGACCAATAGCAGAGGTCTTGAATCTCCTCCTGCCACTGTTTCCCTGTAGACGGGCTGGGAAAGAGCTGAATCACATGACAGCTGTATACCCATTAGGAAAAAGGTTCTTAGATTTTTTTTTTTAATTAAAATAATTGCAGTGCCATCATCCACATACAGAAATTGAAGGAATAATGTAAAGCAAAAAGTGTGTGTTAACCTCCTTGGCGGTATGATTATTTCCGATTTTTTTGTGCTGAAAGCGGTACCATTGTTTTGCATGGAAATATGTCGTTTTTTTTATTGTAGGCTGTAATTTTTAGGAATAACTCACTGAAATCTGTCCAAACAAGAGTCTAGTAAACATTGCGGATATGATAAAACTTGAAACACGAAATCATAAATTATAATTTAATAAATAATCATAAATAATAATATAATAATAATATATTTAATTCAATAATATAATCAAACCAAAAACACTGAAATTTTGAAATACAGAGGCAAATTCGCACATTGCTGAGCAAAGTGGCAAAAATCGTTTTCAGTGTCTGATGACGAATTTCCCCCACGAATCATTATCACTCAATTCTGCAAGTGGTTCTGATTTACTATCGCTGTTCTCTAGCCGGTCTAAAACCGATTTTGACGTAAAGGGACGCTTTTTGGACGCCATGGACGTTTCTAAGTTTCCAGGCAGAAAGAACAGTAATAACGCAGGCAGGGCGCAGGACAAAGCAGTAGGGACAAAAATGTATGTGAAATGGTTTGAAACAGCAATGTTTTACTATATAATAATTGATTTTAAAAAAATGACATTTTTTAAAAATTTCAAATTTGCCGCTGGTTCGGCGCGCCATACGTCCCCCGACGTCACAGGGACCGGAACACGGAAGCTGGATGCCGGCATCGGCCGGAGGAGATGGCCGGGGACGCTGCAGGGGACACATCGCGGGAGCGAAGGACAAGGTAAGTGCTGCAGGGACTCCCTGAGCAACGCCGCATGGTATTCCTGAGTGTAGCTCGTGGTTACCGCTCTTGGTACTGAAACTTTACCCCGAGCTACAGTCAGGAATACCGCCAAGGAGGTTAATTTAATTTAATCAAAAGGAGATCACAAATATCAATATGACTGCGCTGTCCACAGATCTACAGTGTATGCAAACTTTCCATGGTAACAAAGGCAAAAGAAAAATGTTATATGTAAAAGAAGCAATACCCAGGGAGTAGGGAAAAAGAAGAGATAGAAAAAAAGAGGAAAAGGGGTAGAGGGAAAAATTTATGGAGCATCTGTAGATGGTATCTTCTTCTAGACCTTGCATTCACTATATCTGGTCTCCCCGGACCCTGCATTCACTATATCTGGTCTCCCCGGACCCTGCATTCACTATATCTGGTCCTCCAGGACCCTGCATTCACTATATCTGGTTTCCCCGGACCTGCCTTCACTATATCTGTTCTCCCCGGACCCTGCATTCACTATATCTGGTCCCCCAGACCCTGCATTCACTATATCCGGTCTCCCCGGACCCTGCATTCACTATATCCGGTCTCCCCGGACCCTGCATTCACTATATCTGGTCTCCCCGGACCCTGCATTCACTATATCCGGTCTCCCCGGACCCTGCATTCACTATATCTGGTCCTCCAGGACCCTGCATTCACTATATCTGGTCTCCCCGGACCCTGCATTCACTATATCTGGTCTCCCCGGACCCTGCATTCACTATATCTGGTCTCCCTGGACCCTGCATTCACTATTAAAAGAAAAAATATTCCTGCGCCAATCAAGATTAGATAAATAAATAAAATCACAGTAAATATATTCCAATTCACAGTTGTCACCATACAAATTGGCTAAAATCTATCCCTAAAAGTCAGCTGATCAGACTTAAACGTAATTGTGATGATGATACTATCTTTAAAGAGCAAGCAGAAATTTTGATGCAGAGATTTAGAGAGAAAGGTTATATGAAGGAGGTATTAGAAGAAACATTTGAAAAGGTTAATAGGATTAAGAGAGAAGATTTATTAATTAAGAAGAAAAAAAGAGGATAAGAGAGGTGAGCTTGCCTTTATTACGGGTTATTCAAATCAATATAAAATCATTGAAGGTATAATAAGAAAATATTGGCCGATCTTAAAAAAGAGGATGATATATTGCAACAAATATTACCGAAAAGACCTTCATTCATTTATAGAAAACCCCCTTCATTAAGAACGAAATTAGTGAAAAATGTTCCAGATACACCCAAAAAGAAGGTTACTTTTCTTGATAGGGTGGGGTTTTATAAGTGTAAAAGGTGCATAGCATGTAGGACCATGAAGGGGGATAATAGGGGATATTTAAATAGTTTTCCATTCTTGTCTAATGGTTCCTCCTATAAGATAAATAAATTTCATATCATGTGACAGTTCCTTTGTGACATATCTGTTTGGAATGCTCATGCAACCTCCAGTTATGTAGGTAGAACTACTAGAAAGTTTTATTTCAGTGAGGCTAGGCGAACATATTAGAAATATCAAAAAAAGGTTATAAGTACCATAGTCTCTCTCAACATTTTAGGATCCATCACAACAGGGATCCATCATGTTTAAAATTTTGTGGTATAGATCGAATTTGTGCCCATTGGAGGGGAGGGGATATGGCGAAGAGTATTTCGCAGAATGAGACAAAATGGATTTATCAAATGGGTTCTCTGTTTCCTAAAGGGTTAAATTCAGACATAGATATAAATTGTTTTTTTGTCCAATTGGTAATGGATTAATTTGTCCATACAAGGGTATGCATTCTGTATACGATCCTTAATGGTGTTTATATATTTATTGTGAAAATGGAGAAGTTTTTGTATCCGTAAAGGGTCAAAAATGTGATATGGGTTTGATTAATCAATAGGTTTGTTCAATTAAAAGGTTTGCACCATTTATATTTATATATTTGGTGGTTTCTATACTGTGTTGATTATAGGGATTGGGATGATTTTAAAATTTGATATATTGGTAATATAGAAAATGTCTGGTATATATATAGTGAATTAATAAAATTATTTTTTATTTTTTAATTTTTATATAAAATTTATAATTAATTTTATTTGAATTATTTTATAATATTATTTTAATATCCTTTTAATTTTCTATTGACCAGGCCTTTTTTTGCTGTTTGGCGCGTAAACAGTGTTATATCGTCAGGAATAGCTACAAACTATGGTATAGATACTGTAATTTTTTATGCCTTTTTTAGCCTATACAGCCGCTGCACTAATTCAAATGATAATTGCGCGGTCATGCAATGCTGTACCTAATCAAAATTTACGTCCTTTTTTTCACACAAATAGAGCTTTCTTTTGGTGGTATTTTGATCACCTGTGCCTTTTATTTTTGGCGCTATAAACAAAAAAACACGAAAATCGTGAAAAAAACACAATTTTTTTCCTACGTTTCAGCTATAAAAAATATATCGTAAACATCAAAGTTAGTCATAAAATTTCAGCCAAAATGTATTCTGCTACATGTTGCTGGTAAAAAAAAATCCCTATAAGTGTATAATGATTGCTTTGGGTGAACGTTATAGCGTCTACAAACTATGGAATAAGATACTGTAAATTTATGCCTTTTTTTGCTATACAGCGCTGCACTAATTCAAATGAAATTGCGCGGTCA